CTCAGATAGTTAACTTTGTGACTCGTTTTCCTGACAACCCTAATCATTTACCTTCACTCCTTGGCTTATGTCTTGTCTCTGACCCTAGCTTATGTTCAGTTTCTCCCTTTTCTCCATTAGGTAATTCTGACCATGCAATGATCTCTATAAATCTTTCTTCTCGTACTTCTTTTTTGGGCTCACCTTATCATCGCACCACCTACTACTACCCTAAAGCTGACTGGGATTCTTTTCGTGATTTTCTTCGTGATGGTCCTTGGGCCATCGATTCATTAGATTTTCTTCGTGATTGGTCTTGAATCTTATGGACATTCTCTTCCTTCCATTCCAGTCAAACAGGTTGACCCATTGTTAGACATTCAAATCACTCCGGCTTCTGTTGCTAAAGTCATATCTCAATTAAACTCGTCTACAGCTTGTGGTCCAGACAACATTCCTGTCACAGTCTTGCAGAGTTGTTCTCTAGAACTTTCTTCAATTCTCTCTAAACTATTTAAGAAGTGTTTGACTGAGTCTTGTTTTCCTGCTTGTTGGAAAATGGCATCTGTGGTTCCAATATTCAAAAACTCTGGAGAAAATTCTGACCCCTCCAATTATTGTCCGTTCAGGCTTCTTTCTGTTATTAGCAAGGTCTTTGAGTCTTTGATCAACAAATTCCTCACATCTCATCTTGAGTCAAATAAACTACTGTCAGACAATCAATACGGTTTTCGATCCTCTCGCTCTATGGCTGACTTGCTAACTGCTGTAACTGAAAGATTTTATCGTGCATTAGATGGAGGTGGTGAGGCTAGGGCTATTGCTCTCGACATATCTAAAGCTTTCGACAAAGTTTAGCATGCTGGTCTTCTCCATAAGCTTGCTTCATATGGTGTTTCTGGGAAAGTTTTTGAGATTATCAAATCATTTCTTTCTAACCGGTTTATTAAAGTCATCCTTGAAGGCCAAAAAAAGGCAGCTGATCTTGCATCCGATCTCACTTCAGTAATAGATTGGGGTTTACAGTGGCTTGTGAATTTGAACTCTAACAAAACCCAGTTGTTTACTGCAAACAACTACCGTAATATGGTCAACATTCCTATATTAATGAATGGCAATCCTCTTACTGAGTCCTCCTCTTTACGTCTTTTTGGATTATCGCTTACTACTGACCTTTCATGGAAACATATATACAATCTATTGCTAAATTAGCTTCTGCTAAGGTTGCTTCTCTTTATCGTGCTCGCCATTTCCTTACTTCTGATTCCATTCTCTAACTCTACAAATCTCTTATTTGTCCCTGTATGGAATACTGTTGTCATATTTGGGCTGGTTCTTCTAACGATTCATTTTCTCTTCTTGACAAAGTCCAAAAACGCATTGTAAATGTTGTTGGACCTGGACTATCTGTTAAGCTTGAGCCTTTTTCCCATCGTCGTAAAGTTGCATCTCTTTCTCTTTTCTACAAATACTATCATGGTCACTGCTCAAAGGAGTTATCATCTTTAGTTCCATCAACTAAAATTCATTCTCGTTTTACTTGTCATTCAGCTAAGTCTCATTTGTTTACTGTATCTGTCCCTGCATGCTCTAAAAACTTTTATTCATCTAGTTTTTTTCGCCGCACTTCAATCCTTTGGAACTCTCTCCCATCATGTTTTCCTGACTCAAATTTTCAAGTCTTCTGTCAACCGTTTCCTTGCTCTATAACTCTGTTCTTTTTTTTCCTAGTAAATCCCAACTTAATAGTGGTTGCTTGCAGCCTTGTTGGGAGTGAATGCAATTAAAAATAAAAAAATAAAAAATATCGTCGGGGATAGTGCAAATCCGCGTAACTAGCATTGGCTACTATATTTGGATATTATTAATTTTAACACCAAATATTTATTGTTGAGATTACAAAAAACATGAATAATACTCCTTTTACTAAAATGAACCCAAAATCAGTTATAATAAAAAATAAATAAAGTTTGAAACTTCTCCAGTAAAAAAATTGTACTGTAGATACGCTGTATTATAAAATGCTAGTTACGCGGTTTTGCACTATCCCCGACGATATATGTATATATATTAGGGTGGAGCGATTTTTAAAATTTTTGAAATTTGATTTGCCTGAGCTCCGAATCGATGTCTTTTAATGAAAAAAGAACCTTATTTTTTTTTTTTTAATTTAAATGAGTTTTAGAGGTTCCTCTTTGGATTCTAAATTTATGATGGATCCTAATATTGTTGAAATTTTTTTTCTTCTAAACTAAATAAACCTGGTACTCAAAAGAAGCAAAATAATACGCATATTTTGAATATAATGTTTGTTTTAATTCAATACTAAAGAGAAAAAAATGTTGTTTTTTTCATTAAAAAACCCCAGTCTTTATCAAAACGAGGGTTTTAAGGTATATTTTTGCAAATATTTTTTTCACTAAAAATTTTTTAAAAATAAAATTATTATTGATAAAACAAGCATTTTTTTCTGCTTTTTTTTGGGTTGATATAATTTAAAAAAAAAAATTCAAAAATATTAGGATTCGTCAAGGATTAAGAATCCAGGAGCCTCAAGATCTCATCAAAATTAAAAAATATTTTTTTACTTTCATCTTATAATTAATAGACATCGATTTGTGTCTCAGGAATATTGATTTTTAAACTTTTTTTTTTTTTGCTATGAAAATCGATCCACCCTAATAATGTAATGGATGCTGCTCTAAAGAGCTAGCATCTCTTCTTCTATTTACTAAAATTTATTCTCATGTTACTCATCATTCAATTAAGTCTCATCCTTTTACTAAGACTGTTTCTAAGTGCTCTAAAAATTCTTATTTGTCTAGTTTTTTTTCCTCGATCATCATTTCTTCAAATTTGCTCAATTGGAATCAACATCATTTCTTTGGAATTTGCTCCCTTCATCTTGTTTTCCTGATTTATTTAATTTGCTATCTTTTAAGTGGTCTGTTAATTGTTATCTTGCTTTATAAACTTGATCTTTTCTCATCCAGGAAGTTCCAACTCTAATAATAGTTGCTTGCAGCCTTGTTGGAAATTATTATTATTATTATTATTATTATTGCTATTATTGCTATTATTATTATTATTATTGTTATTATTATTATTATTATTATATATATATATATATATATATATATATATATATATATATACCAGTAATTCTTCTCGTTCTACAGCTGATGTGCTAACAGTAATAACCGATAGGTTTTACCGTGCATTAGATAGAGGTGGAGAGGTTAAGGCTATCGCACTTGACATTTCTAAAGCTTTTGATAAAGTTTGGCATGCTGGTCTTCTCCATAAGCTTTCTTCTTATGGTGTAGCTGGTAACATCTTTAAGATTATTGAGTCCTTTCTTTCCAATCGTAGTATAAAAGTTGTCCTCGATGGACAACACTCTTCTTCACATCCTGTAACTTCAGGGGTTCCTCAAGGTTCAATCCTTGGCCCTATACTCTTTTTAATTTACATTAACGATCTTCCAGATATTCTCACATCTAAGGTGGCATTATTCGCTGACGACACTACCATTTACTCTTGTCATGATAAGAAGCCTACACTCTCTGATTGCTTGGAGGGGGTATCTGAGCTTGAAAAGGGTCTCACTTCTGCTACAGCATGGGGCTCACAGTGGCTGGTGAACTTTAATTCAGATAAAACTCAATTTTATTCGGCCAATCGTTATCGTAATAATTTAGATCTTCCTATATTTATGAATGGTAATGTACTAGATGAGTCATCTACCATTCATCTTCTAGGATTAACTCTTACTTCTGATCTTTCTTTTAAACCGTATATCAAATCCATTGCAAAATTAGCATCTGCTAAGGTTGCATCTCTTTATCGAGCTCGACACTTTCTTACTCCAGATTCTATTCTCTATCTCTATAAATCTCAAATCCGTCCCTGTATGGAATACTGTTGCCACATCTGGGGCGGATCTTCTAATGATGCTCTTTCTCTTTTAGACAAGGTGCAAAAACGAATTGTAAACATAGTTGGACCTGCTCTGGCAGCCAATCTCCAACCTTTGTCACATCGTCATAATGTTGCTTCTCTTTCTCTTTTCTACAAATACTATAATGGGCACTGCTCTAAAGAGCTAGCGTCCCTTGTGCCATCTACTAAAATTCATTCTCGTGTTACTCGCCATTCAATTAAGTCTCATCCTTTTTCTGTGACTGTTCCTTAGTGCTTCAAAAACTCTTATTCTTCTAGTTTTTTTCCTCAAACATCAGTTCTTTGGAATTCGCATCCTTCATCTTGCTTTCCTGATTCATATAATTTGCAATCTTTTAAGTCATCAGTCAATCGTTATCTTGCTCTACAGATTTAGTCTTTTCTCTTCCAGTAACTTCCAACTCTTATAGTGGTTGCTTGCAGCCTTGTTGGAAGTGAAGATGTTAAAAAAAAAAAAAAAAAAAAAAAAAAATATAAGTAATATTTCGGTAGACAGTGCTCAATACAAAAGTAGAGCAAATATATATTATATTAAAATAATAATAAAATTAAATTTGTAACATAACTCAGAGTTTCGCTCTATATGCCATATAGCGTGAAACTCTGAGTTATGTTACAAATTTAATTTTATTATTATTTTAATATAAAATATATATATATATATATGTATATATATGTATATATATATATATATATATATATATATATATATATATATATATATATATATATATATATATATATATATATATATATATATATATATATATATATACATATAAACTCTGGCGTCACACTAAAATAGTCTGCTACCAGAGGCTTCAGCACCTACATTGATTGTCTTATAGCCTGCTGCCAAAAAGGAATTTGATTACATCAACTGAGGGTTTTTTTTGTTTCCTGAAAACGCAATGTGCAATAAAGGTAGGAGAAACAAGTTACAATTTGTTATCTATATACGCTATAGTACTCTGCGTATATAAAAGTGCATGTTATCGTGTATGAATAATAGTATTTTTGAATAAGTTTATTAAAATTTTGAATTTAAATTTCATTAGAGGATTGAAGCACTTGACAGTAATATTGCAATTGAAAAGCTCTATTTATATAGTAATCAAATTGAAAAAATAGAAAACTTGTCTCTACTTGTCAAACTTAAAACCTTGTGGTTGAATAAGAACAAGATCAGCATTATTGAGGTATTTTTAAAATAGTTTTTACTGTTTGTACATCAGTTTTTAACATGTTAGTTGCTTAAAGGGTAACTAAAAATAAAGTTAATATTACATATATATATGTATATATATATATATATATATATATATATATATATATATATATATATATATATATATATATATATATATACATATATATATATGTATATATATATATGTATATATATATATATATATATTTAAACAATTTAAAATGTATTCTACAAAAAGAGTGCTCAATGTTCTTAAAAGAACAGAGCAATTACAGAAGAAAATCACTTAGCAAAATTTTTTCTCATTTAACACTGTGTTTCATCAATAAAGATATCTGATGAGTCTTTATTGATGAAACACAGTGTTAAATGAAAAAAAATTTTGCTAAGTGATTTTCTACTAATTTATATATATATATATATATATAAATTAGTATATTACACCCTAATATATATATATATATATATATATATATATATATATATATATATATATATATATATATATATATATATATATATATATATATATATATATATATATTTATATATATATATATATATATTAGGGTGGCCCTTAAAACAACTTTTTTGAGAAAAACCTGCTCCTACCCCCTAAATGTGTTCTATCTAATACAAAAACACTAGGTTTAAAATTTTTTTGAATTAAAAATATTTTAAGGGGACCCTAAAGACCCTCGAATATTTAATGGGTCCCTAATATTTTCAAAAAAAAAGTTTTTCAAAAATATGTCAACCTGGTACTCAAATGAAGCGAAATTATATAAAAATTTCAAAAATTATATTCATTTTGAAAATTTTAATTTCGCTTCATTTTAGTACCAGGTTGACATATTTTTGAAAAACTTTTTTTTTGAAAATATTAGGGACCCATTAAGTATTCGAGGGTCTTGAGGGTCCCCTTAAAATGTTTTTTATTAAAAAAAAATTTAAACCTAGTGTTTTTGTATTAGATAAAACATTTACGGCATGGGAGCAGGTTTTTCTCAAAAAAGTTCTTTTAAAGGCCACCCTAATATATATATTATATGTCATACACTGAATTTCTGAATTTATGTCAACATTTTGCAATTCATTTTTGTTTTTTTTAAGGATCTTTAATTTTTTGTGGTATCAGGTAGCCATAAAGAAAATTTCTTGATGTGAACATTTTTATAAATATTAAAATTAATAAAAATAATAATAATTATTCTATAATATATTTAAAAAATTTCATTGCATTCTGATGACTTTTTGTTTAATTTAGAATTTGTCTGATTTGGTAGAACTTCAAAATCTTAACCTAAGTGATAATAATATCTCTAAAATAGGTATACACATTCTTTAACAACATTTTAACCAGAATTTGCATTTAAAATATTGATCAAATATACATTCAATTTTAACATTAAAACATTCAAGTTTAACTTTAGTGTTAATGTTAATGTCTACGAGTATTCCTAATTACATTTTTACTTGATAAGATAGATTAGGAAAATAATTAACTTTTTTTCAGATTTGTTTTACTCCTTAGTACAAATTTTTTTTTGTGTGCATACTTAAGATATAAAACTGCTTAAAATTTGTAATATAGTTATTTTTTTATTACAAATCCTATTCCAGTGCTAGTCTTTTTTAATACTTTTGCTATTTCAGTGGAAATAATAATAGTTTTTTTTCAACTGGGTCCCAGTATTGTAAGTCCTGTTTTCATTTTTCAAAGGTTAAAATTTGCATGAAAATTTTGGCAGTAAGATAAAGCCAATTATTATGAAAGAATTTATTTTAAAAGTGTTTTGTTTTTATTTTGAATATATTTTTCTACCCTACCTCATTGACCGAAAAATATGCAATATAAATAGCTGTGTCAAAAATCAAGTTGTGTGCAGTGCTACCATTATATCAAGTTTGATTGTTCTTTTTGCTTACAAAGTGAATTCTTACTACTCTAGCACTACTGCATGGTTAGAGTAGCTTAACAAGTACTTGATTTGATTTAGTTTTCCTAAATAGCAGATTTTTAAAATCAATTTTTAAATAAACACAAATAAACACCTTTGGCAAACTATTTTTTTTTTGTTCAAAGTATGTTGCTCACCCTTGTTAATATGCTCAATACTACTATTGACCTCTCATGGAAGCCATATATGCAATTCATTGCAAAGTCAGCATCTGCTAAGGTTTTCACTCCTTATCATGCTCACCATTTTCTTATTCCTAATTTTACTCTATAAATTTTGTATTCAACCTTGTATGGAATATTGTTGTCATATTTGGCTGGTTCTTCTAATAATTTCTTTTAATCTTTTATAGACAAGCTCTATAATAGAGAGGGTCTTATTAGAAATTTCCAGTTCAATACACCTTTAATAAATAAATGAAAGACTTCTGGACTAGTTTTGGAAAAAAATCTGTATATTTATGGTAAAGGAATTTAGCAATTTGGAAACCAGAGTCCTATTGTAGAATGGTTACCATGGACTCAAGAAATAATTGACTCAATGCTAATTTTTTTTTAATCTCAAATTTAATAAGGATTTTATTAATAATTAAAATAAGAGTTTTTTTTCTTATGTAGTCATATTGTTTCTCAACTTCTTTATACCACGACACTTGTGACCAGGAGCAAATAGTGATTTTGTGACTTTTGAAACTGAAGTCTTTTTTGAGACTTTAAATTCTGGATAGAGTGGTTTGTAAGCAAATTGAATTCTCACCTTTTTCTTGATAGTTTATTACGCAAATTTTATTTCAGTGATGCAACCTTGCTTGTCAAGGTTTATTTACTGAAATTACAGGTTTTGTTGGACGATTGTAAAAACAAACAAAAGAAACAAGTATCCCCCTCAACTTTAGTGGCCTAGGGAGGTGAATACATGAAATGAAAAAGACAAAAAAAAATCTAATACTTAAAACCTTCAGATTTTTTTTTTTGTAACAAATTTACTTATAAACAAATCATTTGAAGATTTATTTATTCAATGTTTTAAATGCTTTAATTTTATTTAGGGAAGTCATTGAGCTGTAATGCAGAATTGGAGGAATTAAACTTATCAGGAAACTTGATTTTTTCTTTAAAAGTAAGAAACAAGTTCAAACACACACAAGTCTTAAACTAATTATTTGTTATTATTGTATATTATTACTTTTTTTTTCAGTTGTAAGTATTAAAAAAAAAAAAAAATTAATGTGAAATTACTTACTTAATTTTATTTATATCACACCAGTTTGATGCAAGATGAATGAAGTTAACAACTATTATTAAGTTGTAAAATTTTTTCTTTTAAAACATTAGGTTACTAGCATAAATCTTTTTGTCATTTTCTAATATCACAAAATATTTGTAAATATACAGTTATTGAAATAATAAATTTGCATCAATTTGGTGAACTTTGGATGTAATACAGATTAAAAATGTATTTTTTTTTACATAAATTTTTTAGGACATTACAATTTTGGCTTGCTTACCTAAACTTGTCTCTTTAAGTTTAAATGACCCATTGTCATCAACTAATCCTGTTGGATTACTGGCTAATTATACAACTTTTATTCTTTATCACTTGCCGCATATTAAACATCTTGATTCATTTGATGTGTCTCAAGGATTAAAAAATGCTGCTGAGGTTTTTTTGATTTTGTTTTAATGTATGCTGTATATACTGGTGAAAAATTTATATAATAAAAACTATTTGAAACTTGTTTAGACTATGCACTTAAAAAAAAGTGTCATATTACGAAGTTGATTTATACACTGGTATATACAGTACTTTTTTTATTAATTTTTGAATTTTGTTTTGTTTTTAATATTTATTTTTTGTATTTATATTTAGATTGTAAGTAAGATATAGAGATTTGTAAGTGAAACATCACTCTTGTCAAAGTAAATCTCTTTAAATACTTAAATATTTGAACTCAAAACACTTATTATATGGACTTATTTCATAAGCACTTTTGCATGATACATAAGGTTATGGTTTTTTTAAAACAAATTTATAAGGTTAAAAGTATGCACTAATCATTTTGAAAATTAACAAAAAAGTTAAAGAGCATGAAGGTGTTTGATAGAAGACTTAAAATACTGTAAATTTCGAAGAGTCAAAAAAAACAAAAAAAAACAAGACAAAAGATAGTTTTAAAGCACCAATGTTTAAGGAAAGAAAACTATATGTTTTTTAGCACAAAGGAATTGTTAGAGTAAAAAGATGCTGCTTTACAACTGTTTGTTTATATGGTTTCAATGAGAGATCAATAGTAAATAATAATAACTGCTATACATCATAACACTATAGACTCATGTGGTGTATAACTTTCCTTAATCTTATATGATGTATCTTTTGCTATTGAAGATTTTTCTCAAATATCCCAAGGCATTTCACTCTTGTCTCTTCTGCTCCACCACCTGTTTCAATTATATCTTTGAGACAACAGTCAAACTCACACTGTACCTTTTTTGGTTGACCCAAAGTAAGTTTTTTATACTCAAAACCTATAATATTTAGATTAGCTCATGTGCCTCTGCATTTCTTGTGCATAAAGTCTGCATAAAATAGTTCCCATAGTGATTTCTTTAAAAATAAGTTTCATAACAATAATAAAAAGCAAAGGACTGAACACTGAATCTTGATGCACACCAACTTTTACTTTAAAAGTATCACTTTCCACAACTTTCATTATTTAAAAATATTACTTTCTACATCTTGTGTTTTAATTGCTGTGGCAAGATTTTCTTACATGCGGCAAAATTTTCTTAAATGCGGTAGTGGAGTAGTGGTAAAGTGCTCGCTTCTTAAGTAAGAGGTTCCGAGTTCAATCCCCACCACGTCTCTGGTAGTACCGCACTCAACTTGTTTCTCCGCGCAGCGGCCTTGTTTGTCAAGGTTTGTGTTTCGGAGTTATAGAGTTGAGAGAGGGTTATAACCACTATTAAGTAGCCTCCTTATCTGTAGTGGCCTTCTCGGCCTTGAGGAGGTGAATAACAAAAAAAAAACATAGCTATGATAAGTGTTTTTTTTCTATCTAAATACCTCTAACACTGACACACTATCTCTCTTTGTATTCTATTAAAAGCTTTTTAAGGTCATGTTTTTTGATTGAGAATATTTGTTGATTTACCGGTTTAAAACTAAACTGCACATTATTTATATTTAAACATTGCTTTTTATTTTGTTGACAATATTTCTTTTTCAAATTTACATTACCTGGTCAAATAATTTTATGATATAAATATTATATTATTATATTATTCTATGATAAACACCATTTTAGTTTTTTTATAATTATTTGGGATTTTATCTTCATGCACGATTGCATTGTAAAGATCTGGCTGATTTCACTTTATTACAAGTAATCAGCTCTGCTAATTGCCATATTCACTGCAAGTAAATCTTTATTTTATTCAAACTCTTTGTTTGATATACTGTTACTGAATATACTGTTAAAGAAATATTATATAAATTTGAGAATTAAACAAATATGAATTCAAATTATTATTACTATTTTTTAATATTGATGTCACTAAATCTCAGTATTAAATTTATGCTTTTGTTATTCCTGTATAATAACTTTTCTTTTTAGATAACAGTTATGAAAAAGAAGACTTTTTATAGGGTGCAAATCAAAAAAGTGAATAGAATGTTTTATCATGTCAAATCTATTCTAAGAGAAGAACTATGCAAAATGCAAGAGAGTTCTGACATAAATATCCGAAAGATTTGCTACTCAATCAAAGAGGTTTTAATTTTTTTTTCTCTATAAATGTTTACTTTTTATTTGTTTATATTTAAAATATATAATGCTTGTTTATTTTATTTGGTCCGGTTAGCATTATGGTTTATATACATTTTTAATACTGGGATCAAATGTAAATACAATATTTAGACCAAGGTAGAGCTCTAAATATTTATCTACTTGGTATCATGATTAAGGATGAAAATTTCCTAGAAATTTTAAACTCTGGAAATTTTAGAAATTTTCATAAAAAGTTATTTTATAGTTAATTGATAAAATGTCTTATTTAGGCAGTTGTTATGGACAATTTTATGGTAAAATATTGTGAAGCAGATTATAAGATTTTAAAAAGCCCTCTTTAAAAAACACTTTTTTTTGTATTTTGTTGAATTTTTTTTTTGTAACTATAAGTAATAACTTTGATAATAATTTGCACCTCAATTCCTAAAGGTGAAGGGGCATTTTTTAATGTCTATTAATTGACCTGCAAGTTACTGAAAACTGTTAAATAGAATATAAAAACTGTTAAATAGACCTGCAAGTTACTGAAAACTGTTAAATAGAATATAAAAAGACTTAATTAAATATTTACAGTATTTTACAATTTTTTCTTGATTTAATGATGCTATTGATTACTGGAAGACAAAAAGTAAAAAACATTTTTGCTAAATTTGAACTATTTAAAAATATAGTTAGCAATAAAAATAAAGAACTAATGGTTTCAAGGTCATAAATTCTGCTGCTATTTTTAAATAAGTGCTTTTAAGACTTGAGTCTCACTTGTCACAACCTTGTTTGTGTGTGTGTGTGTTTTATAAGTACCATTGGTAGTATCATACCAAGCAAATCAATTTATTATTATTTTAATGAACATTCAGATCAATTTTGTTTTCTAATGTATTTTTAGATAAATTATTATAATCTAACACAGTTAGTGCATTTCTAACATAAATGCACAAGCCAACTCGGAAAACCTCTACTTTTCATTGTTCCGCCAAAGTAATTTATGTATAAGTAACATATAACATTGAGTGTTTTATTGCTTTTAAAAAAAAATATCTGATTCTTAAATTAATAAACTTGATTATAAAAATTTGAAAATATGTGTACTTTTTGCTTGTGGATCTTTATTATTTTATATTTTTTGGTTGAAATATTTTAAGAATATTCAAATACTATGACGTTAAAACAGATATTTTTAAAACCAAGAAATGAATTTTATAAAACTATATAAGTTTATTGCAATAGAAAACTTTTGAAAATTTCTGGAAATTTTAAGCAAAAATTTCATGGAAAATTTTCAACCCTAGTTATGCTGATTGATGGTCAACCCTAGTTATGCTGATTGATGGTCAACCCTAGTTATGCTGATTGATGGTCAACCCTAGTTATGCTGATTGATGGTCAACCCTAGTTATGCTGATTGATGGTCAACCCTAGTTATGCTGATTGATGGTCAACCCTAGTTATACAAAATAGTAACAAGAAGACTTTTTAACTTCTAGTATACCTTTAGTTGATTTAGCTGAAAGTAGCTCGGTTGTGTGGTTTTTTGGCTTGGCATTTAGAAGCTCAACTTAAGTACTTCACAGAATTTTGAAAAAGCTTCACTTTTACAAAGTGAGCATGTCTTTAGCATTAACATCAAACAGTATGTTGGTAGCATCTTGCTGTCAATGGTCTGGTGTCTTCCACTTATATGATGGTGCAGATTTTAAAAGCCTTTATCTCAAGGTAAGTTAATATGTTTATACACATTCACATTTGTGTTTTAGTATTTAATAGGAGTTACAACATTTAAGTCAATATTTTATTTATATTAAACTAATAATATTTTAATGATTTAGCATCAAGTAAAGTTAGTCATATGACTGACTTTACTTGGTGCTAAATTATCAAAATACTATTAGTTAAATATAAATAAAATATTGACTTAAATGCTGAACTCCTATTAAATACAAAAACACAATGAAGAATGTGTATAAACATAATAACTTACCTTGAGATAAACAAGTTTAATGTTAAAATATGAGGTGCACTCACTACTTTTCCACAATAATATCAATATTTAAAACAACAATTTTTTTTTGTATTCTTTGACATACCAAAAACAAATGTTTTTGGCATTCAAATGTTTATACATTTATATGTATAAATATAGGTAACTGCTTAAAAACTATTACATACCACCTTTGATATTCTTTTGTTTTAAAACACTTCCCAAAAAGGTGGGTTTATTTTAAATTACTTTAATAAACTTATGCAATATTACTTATAACATGATTAACCAATGTTTCTGGTCTCTTAAATAGAAAGTATTGTAGAAATGAAACTTAAACAATACATTTAACTTTCATAATGCAGTGTTATTTCATTTATAAAAGAAAAATTTTTCACAAATTCTCATTCATTCTATTGAATAATACATTTTTTCTTAATTTAAAAAAAAAAATTAAAAAAAACATTTCGACATAAAAAAATAAACAAAAATAAACTCTTACTTAGGTTACTTAGGTCTTTTTATAACCTAATTGTTACTTTGAATAAGTAAAATAATATTTTTAATATCTTATTTAGCTAATTATTTACTATTTTTGCACTGGTAATTGCATAGGGTTAGACATCAGCTACATAAGAAAGTCAAAGGGGTAGATAATGTATCAATGAATAGCATATATATGTGTATATATATATATATATATATATATATATATATATATATATATATATATATATATATATATATATATATATATGTGTGTGTGTGTGTATATATATATATGTGTGTATATATATATATATATATATATATATATATATATATATATATATATATATATATATATATATATATATATATATATATATATATATATATATATATATGTATATATGTATATATATATATATATATATATATATATATATATATATATATATATATATATATATAGCATATATATAAACATATATATATATATACTAGTCTGAAATTTTTAAATATGATTAAATTATGTAAGTTGGTTATAAGTTAATATATTAAATAAAAAATAAATTTAACAAAATTGAAAGTTGGTTTTTGTTTTGTTTTTATTAATTTTAAAAATCATTGTTAACTTAATTATGCCTAATTTATAACATTATTATTTGAAACATTTGTTTATTATTATTATTAATTTATAAAATTATTATTTACTTAGTTTATGCAAGACAAGTTGATAGTTTGTTTGCACTTGAACATTTTTTTTATTATAAATTTTTATTAAATATTTTATTGGAAATAAAAGTGCAACATGTTTATATTACTCCTACTTTTTTATAGAAGTTTTTTTTAGATAATCTTATTAGATATCTTAAATAAATTAATAATGCATTTAATTTTCTTTTATTATTGCAAAAGACAAAGCATTAAGTTTAAAATTGCAATTTAAAAAATAGAAAGTGTTGAACTATTTTGTTTACTTGTTATTTCATTAAAAAAGAAAGTTTCTCTTTTTTCTTTTCTTTTGAGTTTTCTTTATTCAAACTTGATTTAAAACTTTAATAATTTAAAGTGATAGAAATTCTTTTATTGTTGTGTTTTTTTTTAAACATAAAAGAATAATTGAATTTATAAGTTGTAAGTTTCTTTAATTTTTTACTAGAAAAATTTCTACTTTGAAGAGATCATGTACTTAATAAATAACACAACTTCTTATAATGAGAAACACATAAGTGATGTTTTGCCCATTACTGGTGCATCACCAATGTGGTTTTTCTTTTTTATGATACAAGGATGTGTTATAGTTATTGCTAATCTTACCCTGATTGTTGTTATTGCATTGAGTACTCGATTACACAAGATTCACTCTAGCAAATTTTTGAGAAGTTTTTTGTTTTCTCATTGTGTTTTTGGTTCTACTGAGATAATGGTGGCAGTAGCATATTGGAACAAGCAATTCTCAGATAAAAATAATTCTTACACAACATTTTTGCATCGTTATATGCCTATATTAGTTGCATGGCTGTTTACAAACTTACTTGTGCTTACTTTGGATAGATTTTTTTATATTAGGTTTCCGTTCCATTACAGCCAACTCACTGAATTTAAAATTTTTTTAATCATTGGTATGTCTTGGGTGTTGCCTCTCTTGCTTTTATTTGTTCCTAATACATCTCAGACAATTGTTAATGAAATTATATTTCTATCCTTACTAATGATGGCATTTTTTGTATTACTTATTTCAAACATTTGCATATATCGAATTGCAAGGGTGCATCAAAAATCAATTACAAAACAACGTAAATCACTGAATAAATCAGATTCTGATGAAACAAAACAACTCAACTCAAAGAAACATTTTAATGCAGTAAAAGTCTGTTTTGGAATGGTTGTAACATTTTTGATATTTTGGACTCCATTGTTTATTCATGGTGTAACATTATTATGTGGAATTCGGCACCCTACATTTACTATAGTTACTGTTCTACTAGCATTTGGCAATAGTGTGGTTGACCCAATTCTTTACAGCATACTGAGTGTTGACTTAAGATCAGAAGTTCGTATAATGTTACACCCATTTTTGAGAAAATAAAACTTACAGAATTTGAATTGCAAAAAAAAAACTAATGTTTTTTACCGTGCTTATACTTAAATTATTTAATTTGCTGTAACAAACATCCCTTATATTTTTTTATTTATTTCAGGTTGATATCAGGTGTAAAAATGTAGATTTAAAAGGGTATATATTTTAGTGTTACTTAAGAGAAATACAATACATAAAGTAAAATAGTTTTTTTTTAAATGTGTTACAATCTAATGTTAGAAAAGAATCTCTGTTAGTTTTGTTTATTTTTATAAATTTATAAAAAGAAACCTAGAATTTTAAATTTTGGGTTGGGCATGTACTATTGTTTTTGTATTTAGCTGTAAAAAATTTTATTTAAGCAAATCATTATTATCAAAAGTTTACAGTACTTGTAAAAACAAGTAGCAAAAGAGTTCTACACAATCTCATTCTTTTCTGCATTCTGCAGAATGCTTTTTAATTCACGCTTATACTAGCAAGGTTATATACTAGCAAGGTTATACGGTTAGGTTAACCAAGGTTAACTCAAATTGAATAGCAAAAGTAAAATGTATAAATTTAAAAAAAAAAATTTAAAAATAATAATAGCAAAAGTAATTTTAAAAATATTTAACTAATATTTTTATTTTTTTTATAATAATTTTTAGTTTTTGATGACTAGCAACAGATCGTTCTGAATATGAAAAGTAGTGTAGTACTGATTATTCAGCATTGGCTTAGTCTGCCACTATCAGACATCATTATTGATTTGCTGATTTTTTTAATTGCTTTTTTTTATTTTTTATTCTGTACTATGAAATTTAGCCCTCAAATTAGGGTTCTGCATTCGGCAATTCTGACTTTAAATTATTTGAGGTCAGCAAAAAATTGCCAATCTTGTTTCTGTGTTTTATGGTAACCCTATGGTGTCAAATTTTTTTGCCGACCTCTAACAGTTTGAGGTTAGCAATTTATTGCCAACCTCATTTTTCCCAATTCCAAGGGTTGGAAATTAATTTGTGTTAGATAAATTAAACTCTATACATTACTCAGAATATTTTGGGTATCAGCTTTTCATTTATGAATTTTTTGAACTTTTTTAAAAAAGAAAAATTATTAAATGAAGCAACCTTAGTATGACAACAGTATTTCATGCAAGAACAAATAAAACATTTATAGAAATAAATACTGGAATCAAATGAAAGAAAATAAATTAAGTTGATGCTAATGGTTTCCATGAGAAGTCAGGATATCTGATTGAGTCAAAGCATAGTTGCTGGTTTTTTGTTAGTTCATCATTACTTCATTATTCTCATTATTTAAATTGAAACAATTTTGTTTTTATTTATTTATTTTTTTTTTGTAGATAGCTAAGATCATTATAATAATCAGAAGAAAAAAGATCATAATCTATTGGGTGGACAGGGAAAAATCTCTAAAACCACCAATGCTTTTTACTTTTTTTAATTTTTAGTTAAATGTTATTTCCTTAACTTTAATTGTTTTGATAATTTTTGATTACAAATCAACGATTTGCAAATTTTTTTGAAAACAAATTAAGGTGCGTAAAAAAGTTGTGAATTTTTTTTTCAAAAATCCATCGACATCATATTGCTCATTGATATTATAAATAAGTTTAAGACTACTCAAAGCTTTGAAACAAAACCTGGAAGTGGAAGAAAGAAAACTTTCCATAAATCCAAAAAGGTAAAGTTGATTCATAGTTTAATATCAAGAAGTCCGAACCAGTCACAGCAAGAAGATCTAGCACAAAAACTCAAGACTTTGTACTTTTATATTAAAAAAATAGTTAAAAAGGAATTAAAGCATTTTAAAAGAAAAATGCACCTCAGAGAAGCTTAAATGGTGAAATTAAAGAAATTTGACGTGCAAAGAAGTGTTTAAAATAATGGCAGATTAAAAGTATATGCATAATTGAAGTCTACAAAACATATTGCAAGGCGGATTTTTCACAACTTCCTTGTCAACAATTTTACTAGGAGAACAAAGATAAATCTGTCGATGATTAATTTAAATATATTTGACAAGAAAAATTTGCATTCAAGTCTTTGTGTGGCAAGCAATTTGTAGCTGTAATACACAGTCCTCTAATTTTGTCATTAAGAAGACCTTAACTGCCAATCTCTACATCAAAGAATGCCTCTATAAAAGACTTTTGCCATTTCTGAAATAACACAAATACTAATGTCTCTTTTGGCCAGATCTTGCTGCTTCTCACTAATTTAAAAAAGTTATACAGTGGTGAAAAGATAATAATGTGAAAATTGTTCTTGAAGATGCAAATCCTCCAAATCAACATAAAGAGTGCAAGATTGAAGATTTTTGGGCAATAGCAGAAGAAGCTCTTTGTAAGACAGGTTGAGTAACAAAAAATACAAAGGATTTCCAAAAAAAGTTGATTAATGCCACCAATAATGTGAAAAAGAAAAAATCTGCAAAATGATGACATCTGCTTACTATATATTTTGATCTCTTTCCAAACAGCTCATCAAGCTTTTTAAAATTTAGTTGATGTAGACACATTTCATATAAAAAAAAGTTGAAATAATAAGTATTAATGGTTTTAGAGAAATCTCAATTTAAAGTTGATCAGATTTTTCCTTGTCCACCTGATATTGAAGTTTTAATTGCAATAAATTATTAAATTTTTGTAAATATATGCATGTGTCTAAATATACTGGGGATGACTCTAAATATACTGGGAATAAATATATACATTTGGCACTTTTTTTTACAATACTATATTCGTTAAATCATTGTTTCATGTCCTTGAAATATTTTATATTTTTTTAATTTAGTTTTTTGACACCAATTACCTATGGTAATACTTTTTTTTTAAGGTTTTTGGAAAAATATATTTTTTCAAAGATTTCTTATTGCTTAAACTTTAAAAATTTTTATAATTTCCTGTAAACTTTTTGGGTAAGAAGTTTTTGATTTATAGAGCTGGGACTGAGATGCTAATGAACTAGCAAGTTTTAAAAAAATATCTATAGATTTATTTATTGCCTTTACCCCAATAAATGAAACATGCCAATCGGTATTTATAGTTACTAGCAAAAAGCAACCCGTATTACGGGTTTTGATCGGTCTGTTACATAATTAGTTTATAGTGGCTGTTTTCCACAATTTAATGTTGCAAAACCTTAACTAATACCCTTTTAAAAAAACGCCTTCAGCTTGAAAAAGTTAATCCATCTGTAAATTAACATAAAAAGTATAAGGAGGTAAAATAATTTACTAATTACTACTTAACATTATTTGAGCAATTTACAACTGACTTAGGTCTTTACAGTGTAAGGTAGAATCGTTTTCAACGACTTTCCTAAGTTGAACACAATACGTTTTTAGTTACTGACACAAAATAACAACTTCATTATGCTTTATTTGACGAAAGTATCAACTAAATTCTTGTAATAATTTTTATAACATGAACCATTAAGATTACAATGAAGTTAACTTAGCAAAAAGTAACCCGTAATACGGGTTATGGTCGGTCTGTTACATAATTAATTTATAGTGGCTGTTACCACAAGGTTGCAAATTCTTAACTAATACCCTTTTAGAAAAGCGCCTTTAAATTGAACAAATTTATCTCTCGGTAAAATTAACATAATAAGGATGAGGAGGCAAATTAACTTACCAATTATTATTTAACACATTGGAGCAATTTACAAATGACATAGGTCATATCAGTGTAAGGCATAACCATTTTTATCGACATTTCTGAGTTCAACACAAAATAATAACACTTTGCCATTCTTTTTAAATACCAATTAAATTCTTGTAATATTTTTTATAACGTAAACCTTAATTATTTATTAAGATTATCATAAAGTTAACTTATATTATATTATACAGGAGTTATTAACTTTTGGTATCCCCTCTCAGGTTAAATTTTTCTTTAGAAAAAAAAATGTTATTTTAACAAGGTTTAATGCACTTAACTAAATAAATTTATTAAAAATAACTAAGTTTATTATACATATCTAAGGAATTGAGTACAAAAACGTTTAAAAAAAATTAAATAATTTACAATCAAACATGTGTATAAAAAATTTTTTAAAAAATGTTAGCTTTGATCTTTTATATTGCATCATACGACAAACCTAAAATTAAAATTGTAACAGATAAGTAGGCATAAAAAAAGAATAAAAAAAAGTAGACATAAAAAAGAAAGAAAAAATGACTGGAAAACAATTTACCTGCTTTTGGTAACCTGTTATCGTACTGAAGTTGCTGTCATGATGCAACAGTTTTTGTCGGTGTTGTTTAATGACGTTATTTAATGCTGTTTAATCTTCGGTGTCTCCCAACACCCTGGTATGGATGAGCCCTCCATTTGAAGGAGGACTCATCCATACTGCCATTAGAACACCACTTATTAAAGGACCTCTCTGTTGGGAGTTTATACATGTTGTATGTCAATTGATCTAAAATAACAAATAGAAGAATATAATTAAAGTTATAAATATTTGGAATTTTATTTAATCAAAATAAAAAGCATAACCACACCATTTTCAATCATAACTGAAGACAATGCTTCAAACATTAAAAAAAAAAATGAGTAAATTAAAAAAATTTAAACATGTAAAAAATGTAAGTAAAACAGGAACAGTTAAAATGTCATTTTTATTAAAAATTATAAAAACTTGCGATTTCATTTAAAAGTGTTTACTTCATTGTGATTAACCTATATATATATTTGTACAAATATTTAACAGCCTTTACAGACATGCAAGCTTCAACATTAATATGGGCTTGATATTTCTTAGATAACCAAGGATTGTAAGGTACCACCCAACGGTTATCTACATTGTTGCCTTTAATATTGATAACCAACCCATCATCACGACGCCTATATTGTGGATAACCATTGTGAACCGCTACTGCATTGGCACTAAATTCTTTAGGATAATTTTTGCTGCAAACCCCATCTTTCATGCAGGGAGAATTAGGATTCAGTATTCCACATGGGCCGTGAATCATGCAAGTTTTAATAATATCATAAAATTCACAATTAACAATCGGATCTGGAATTTCTGCACATCTTAAATTATTGATATCCTGTGCTGTTTCAAGTTTATCATCATTGGCTTAATGAAGTAAAATGTGGGCATGCGGCAAACCATGCTTTTGAAACTCAATAACCTGAACATGCGTTACAACTTTTCCC